TTCAATAGGGTCTTCAGAGGCATTGCCTACTACCCTAACTATACTGAACTATATATAACACCATGAAACCCAAAACCCCAGAATTCTGTATTACGGGAACGGTGGTAACAGTAATTTATTTCTGCTTTATTATTTTGTTAATTTATTTAATATAATAAAATAAAATAATTATTTAAATTTATTATTTGTTAATTATTGCGTGCTTTTTTGTTGCCTTATACTAGCTTTAAATAATAATTTATTCCCTCTTTCCTGTTTTTGTTTGATACATTCCTTTAATTTTCTCTCCTGCTCTCCCATAAAATCCCACTCGTATAACTTTTTTACTGTATACTTGTAATAGACTGTTACACCATCCATTCACCAAGCCGCCAACTTCGATTACATCACAACAACTTCGATTTGATCACAATTGGGTCAACTAAATTAACTTAATTTGCCAAACCAACTTAATAACTTCGATTACGGTCCGACGTGTCACATGCTAACTGAGCCTTCAGAAGAGGGAAGACTAGGTGTCTCGCCTGGACTAGCTACTGTGGCCACAGATAAACAATTTCCTGTTCAACGACAGCAACAACCGATTTATACCCAAAGTGACAGAGGACAAAAACATAGCTTTTTACAAAATCATTGTTTGCAACCTCTTGTTCAACTATCAAGGGCGTAGGGTTTGATACGCCAGCAAAAAACACTGGAGTGTTTTAAGGGCGCGTAGAATGACGCAAGACGGTAGAAGGGCGAGAAAGCAAGAATTCCGGAAAATAAAGTGGGGTTTTCTCTATGTACAAGGGCCAGAATCGTCCGAGACTCGAACGCAGTTGAATTTACATGCCAAAGAGTTGGAGTGGGACCGGCCATGACAGGAGAAAGCCGGAAACAGTCATGGATTGATGTCGTCAATGGTGTTGATGTTGTTGAGAGCGAGATAAAACGGTCCAGAGACCACCTCGTAGTCCACGCCCCCCACCTCCCCCGCTCCCGAAAGCGTATCGATATCCGGAAAGCAGGGGGTGGGGGGTGGCAGTCGGATCACGTGGAGTTATTGAGCAATGAAGAGTTGATGTGGCTGTCTGAAACAGCCCGCCCCTTCAGTGGCCCTGCGGAGGAGGACTGCCTTCGCAGCAGGGATGGCTTTCCGTTGTTGTTGTTGTTCTTGTTGCCATTTACCGCTTGTGGACTGATTGAGAACTGCTGCATGAACTCAAAGTAGCCCTCCATCGACTGTAGGTGGGCACAGTATTCCTGCACAGAAAAAACGCAAGGCAAAGAAGCTGAATGAGCATGCCTGAAAAAAAAATGCTGCTTCTTGAGCTTAAAAGGATGAAAATGATTGGGTTTGCTGGCGGTAGGAGATAATTGTGGTTGGTGGATGGGCCCTCACTTATCCGTTACGGGACTCACTCGTCCCGTCAGCAGCCGTACAGCGGCTATCATATTACAGGCAGTAATACATTACCGGCAACGGAAAGAGGGACTGGTACGGCAAATTCTGGCTATTTTGATGCACGATCATTCGATTGTCAATATTTCCGATCGAAAACATACAAGACGACAAGTCCGTAGCGCGGCGCGATTATTAGGACGTTTCTCTTCTTATCAGCAGGTTGCTGGTTCGAGTCTCGGAGAATGCAACATCTGGGATGGAGTATGACTGGCTCATGACGGCTACTGAACCAGAAATGCCCCCTCTTGTCTTCCTTCTCTTTGCTGGTGACGCTACCTGCCTGATTTCTGACTTATTAGCCATAATCAGTCATACCCCATCAGAGATGTTGCGTCCTCCGAAACTCGAACCAGCAACCTGCCTTGTGGCTCATTCTCGAGTCCCGCCAGCAGCCACAAAGCGACTATTATTATAGGTAGACTGACATTACTGACAAAAACAAGGGAGATTAAAATAGCCGTTTCTAGCTTATTAGTCATCATCAGCTATCCATACCCAAGCTCGGCCGTTGCACCACCCGAGGCTCTAACCTCAACCTGTTGATTGAAAGTCCGACACTCTAACCATTAGCGGACGAGTAAGTCCTGCGAGATGGGGAAAATATAGAGTAGGCATCACTTATATGATGCTTACGGCAAGAACTGGGGACAAGACCCGCCGCAGTGCACTAGGCTTAAGGCTTAAATTTAGGCTACGGGCTAAAGGTAAAACTGACTTAAAGGTAAGGGGTACGGTTAAGATCCAGATTAGTGCCTTATTTTGCACGGAATATTTGTCCTTCCTGCAAGTTGACGCCAAATCAGCTGTATTACGAGCGAATGCTTC